AAACTTCTGAACCAATCTAAGTTGTTGATCATATGCTTACTTCTTTCCTAATAGTAAAGCTAAAAGTAATTTATTCCCAAAGAAAACTTTAACAAAATTACCTTTTGGACATGGTTACTAGTATGTAAATGTACAAGGAGATTTACATCAATTGATTTTTTGCTTCTGCTATTTAATAGAATATTCAATCAAGTACCTTTTCGCGCTTGCGCATGTATGTGTCTATTGCATTTAAAACACTTACTGACTATTAAACACCATACGAGGAATGAAGCAAACTTTTGATGGATTCTTAACATTTGGATGAAAAATATGAGACATTCTTGTATTTCGCACTTGTTGACATCCATCAGTAGTATAAGTTTTGTAATAGTTTTCGAAAGTGATAGTCTGAAATCGCATCATTTAGTGTTGATGCCAGAGAAGTTATCTATCGGAATTCTGAGTTTTGACAGAAACACAAGATAACTGACTGTAGCCTATTCTACTTTTATGCAACTAGACTGCTTAAAGTGAAATACACGAGGTTAAAGTTTTCCAATCACAGATGTTGTTCAAGAGACTTTAACAATCAGAGATCCTAGTGAATTAGAAGACAAGGGAAACAGGTTAATGGATGAGATTATGAACTGTGATTGATTAAAATGGAATGGTTAGTCAGTGAGTTTAGGAGTTCACTTTGGATTCTTTTATTTGATATGGCATACAGTGAAACAGCATTATTTATTGGATAGTGTTAGAAGTACAATTTATTGCTCGTAGTCAAATCAAGGTAAGCATGCAGCTTTTAGAATTTTTTTCTTTTTATTCCAGGCGCTCTTAATTTTTTAAAATTTTCAGTGGTGGTTAAATTTTCCAAATGTCTGCAGTGTATGACGAATCCTTCTTGTTGTATAGGTTGTGTTAATTCGATGAATAAAGGTTCCATATGACGGACGGACTCCGAAAACTCCACGTAGGATTCCTAGCAATCCTAAGACTAGGGGAAGGGGGTGCATTTAAACCCACAAAATCACTCAGAGAAAAAAACTTGTTGTCTAAAAGATATAGTATATCTATTTCAGTGAAATAAAATCATCTATCAGACACCATGCAATTATTGTGAGGTCAAGCTGATAGACCGAAATAGCGAATCGGTGTCAGTCAGGACATAGAAGTTCAAAAATGCATAGAAATATCAAATAATGAACTGTGATAAAGTAAGTAACTGACGGTAAATCTCTGCTATCGTTCTCTATACACTTACACATAGTCACATTATACAGTCGGATAGGATAACGGTTCTAAAATCTGATACAGCTAGATGGAGGGATAGAATGGTTACTGAATCTCTGGTCGCTAGAACATCAACTAATATAAACATCAGGAATGGTACATGAAAAACTGAAAATATTTGAAGAAATTTACTAATATCCAGTTAACAAGTTAGAAATAGAGTGAAACTCATATCCTGGATTCCCCTGGTAGTCACTACCAAGCAAATTACACCATTAAATTAAACAAAATGAACTATTGAACTCTAAATTGTGTGAATACTTTTATGTGATTATAAGAAACAGTTTATGCTTAAAACATCATCCAGTAAACAATTTAGTATCACTGTGTGTTATATTAAATGAATAATTCTCATAAGATATTACATTCTATCACATTGCTCATGTTTTACTGTTATGTGAAGAGATCATTACCTGAACAACAAAATCACCTTTCATTCTGTATACTTGTTAAAGAAGAAATTATTCATAAGAGTGTAAAAGATGCTCACGACAAAATAAAGCATCACAGTATACGGCTAGTGAGCTGTAAAACATAGTCTATAAACTTGAATTTAGTGGTTGAATCAAGTTAACAGTGTTTATATTATCTAAAAATGTGAACGAGTATACAATTATTCATTATGGTGACTAGTAGTACATCCCAAGGAGTGCGTCTTGTCAGCTAGACATAACCTGTTCCGCAGTGCTCCAAAGGAGACTAGAACCCATTGCCTATCGTTTCGAAACCAAGAAGCTATTCATAATACCCAGTAAGTGTTTAATTCAGTGAAACTTAAACTATCACTTACGTGTTATGCTGTTTATTGAAGACAGTCAGCTGTTTTATATTTATTACTGTTATCAGCTTTCATTCTATCTAGGTTAATGTTTTGTTATTAAACTGGGTATACTTTTCAGTGCCAAAAGATGACGACACTTTTATTATCATTATCATGTAAGTTGATTTCCATATTTGAAGATTTTATTTTCAAAAGTTATTTATATTGAAAAGAAGAATAAAAAGTTGTCTTACTTTTTTTTATGAACTTTTAGCTAACATTTTATTTCTTTTTGATAGTCTGATATACAAAGTACAGATATCGATATTTTGGCATTTTGGATAGGTTTTCCTTTTATGAAGTGAATAACCCATCTGTCAGTTATCAAAGGATATCCAGTATAGACTTATTTACTTAAGGGAGGTTGGTCTTCATGTATATACATTTGTGTGTGTTTATTACACGATAGTGTTGGTCAGGGTTAAGTGTAGTTGGCAGTAAACTCGTAATATTTCACTTTAAGAAGGGAGATAAATCCTTATCAAAGATTTTAATTCATATTATTTATCATTTACAGTCAGGTTTTTGACTGATTGGCAAGTTTTTTGTACAGTATCTTTTTAACCCATTTTCTTAGGTTATAAATCGATATAGTTTATGAACAAGGTGAAAGCTGTGGGTAAATTTGTCACTGCAGTTGGATCTAATTATGTTCAAATCTACTGTCATAATTTATTTTTGTGTGATGGTAAGTATGAATTCTACTGATACTTTGTAGTCAGCGCTGAACGCTAAGGACTAGGTAGCTACACAGGTTATCTATTAGTGACAAATTTATGTACTTATTCCATTCTAACAGGGGGTCATTCATGATGTGAATAGCTTAATAGTAGGGTTATCAACCTCGATAGTCAGTGACACTGGTATGAGACATCAAAAGAACACTAACTTTTCCTTAGTTGTAGATACGCAAGTGAGTTTCAATGCACCATGAAACCTACGTCGGACAGGGCGTCCTACCAACTGACTCCTTACATCCGATACTGGAATATTTTGAAGGCAAATAGCTTTTATTTAAGACGTGTTAGGTATGAAATATTAGGTAATGGACAGAAAGCAAGTCTGTGAAGATAGTTACACAACACTATTATGAAACAACGTTTGTGTTAATGCTTGTTGAACGTATAAGAACTAGGCCGTTAAAGCATATCTATCCAATTTTCATCTTTTCTCTTTCCCTAAACCTCTTCCTTACAAACCAGTTCCATTTAACTTTAACAGGATTTTTGGCAACTTGTGTCTGGCATTTAGTGTGCTAGTTTTCCTACTAAGTGATGAATTGATTGAAATATCACTAATATGAATTCCCAATTTTAATAAATACTTTTAACATGGAGACAGTTTGTGTAGACACACTACAACATGCTTTAAGGTGTCGATGACGAGCATTAATTAACTAAACCTTGGTGAATTCGAATTTTTCTATTTTTCTTATCTAACAGTTGACTGCTTTCGTTAACAATAGATGATCAAATTATTTAAAAACTACATGGTCCACTTTAACATTTCTCATAGCTGCGTAGTTTTTTAACTTCACAACTATGATATAAACAAAGTCTCCGCTGGAAACTATTCAAACGAGATTACAAGATGTGATCTTTGATACAAAAGTGTTACAAGCTAGTAAAGGACAGTACTGTTCAAAAAGCTGAGTAGTCAGAAACCACCTGGACTGATCTTTAGATGTCGCCAGCCAGATCCGAGTGATTTAAACACCAGGCGGCCGTTCCAATCGTCTTGGGCTGAGTTGATTAGCAATGTACCCGGACAAATTCAGTTCATACAGCCGAATTAGTTCAGATCACCTGAGGTCACTTAGGAGAATTCGTCCAGATACATCACTAATGAGTACGGCACAGAATGAGTGGAACGACCGTTTTGTGTTTGGCTCACTCTGATCTGGTTAACAAAATCTAAAGATCAGCCGGATTGGCTTCTAACTACTCAAGTTTTGGACCGATAGTATCTTTCACTTGTTCATGGCACTTTTATGTCAAAGATCACACCTTGTGGTCTCGATTAAGTGGTTTATAGTGGGAATTAGGAAGACGTCTGTCTTAGCAGCATGTACCACAATGAAGTTTGGTGAAACAATTAGGTAGTACCCGGATAATTTGGAGTATTCCATCATAGGACTGAAAACAAACAAAAAGTATTATAATTTCGACTTGATTGACGTACTCTCACTCAGAGCCAATAATTACTGTGACAAGGTATCCCCTTTCAAGAGAACACCACTTAAGAAGCAGATAATGGAATCGATAACGGCAGTAACATTGTACATCATTACAATATAGTTACAATATCTTCGTTCTGCACTTCAATGTGTTTTTCTGTGCTTCCTAAAAATTCATTTCTTTGTCTTCTATATTTATTTATACTCGACATTGCAAATGTATTACTCAATAATCTTGACCAGTCGACTGGTAGCACCTCTTCAATTGTTTTGATTTGGTTCATATACTACTTATACGCGTTATCATAAGTAGCTTTTACGGCACAACTACCCAACTATTAATTATATGAGACAGTCAATTCAACTTCATTTCTGTCTTCTTGGGAATAATACCAATCATATCGATGGTTACTTTCGAACACTTAATGCTTCTTACTGTAGCATTTAATAAATCAGCAGCTTTGAATCAGTGAAGGAATATCAGTTGTATCGTGATTACACATACGCTATACTGACGAATCCCAAAGTTCCTGAAACTTAGCTCAATTGCTTCTAACCACCTAATATCAGTTTTCTAAAGAATTCCGATTTGGAATGATTCTTTGTTGCTGTGATGGAAACTTACCTTAAATGAATGAGAATCATAAGTTTCCTAGATATCACCCTATAATGGCTAGTATATAGGCAATTAATTCATGGTACTAAAAAGAACATTATTCGTATACTTACTTGTTTAGCATCGAAATAACCATCATTATCATCGTCTGGATCAAGATGGTCTGGAATACCATCACAATCATGATCATACCAGCCACGTTTATTCATTCGTTTGTTCAATTCTTTATTACTGACACCTTTTAAAACTAGAAAACAGTTTTTTTTGCAACAAAAATAAGGTAGGATTTAAGAAAAATATGTATTCGCAGAAAGTACAAGGACAAGCGATATTTACATGCACTTAGAAAAGTACAAAATGTCGTAAAGCCTATTCAAAATGAAATTAAACTGCATATTGAATAGAAGAGATGCATAGAATACTGAAATTTCATAGAGAAAATTTAACTGATTGGAAGAAAATTTTGGTCCCCTACTTTCGAAAAGATTTTAGTCACATTTCATTAATTATCAGGTAGATTTTCTATTCATAGATATTTGTTTACAGTATGCTCTATAATCCATAGAATTACCACCCTTTGTTTTTATATTTCAAATTGCTTCTCATTAGAATCAAACAGCGAAATGATTATTTGATTGGGGATTAAACTGGCTGAAAACTTTAATGCATGTTCAGGAATTAAAAGGTTGAAATGATGGGGGCTTAGTTGGAACTTAAGTTTTATAGACCAACCGATGGTGAGCTGACCGAATAATCTACGTTTGATTGATTAGATGGAAATTAAGAATTTAATTTTATGTCACTAAAAGTTTGTTTAAAACAACATGGAGGGCGATATATCCTTGTGGTTGAACGGTTAGAGGATAGTGGGTATAAGTCTGTAAATTTCGGTTTCATGCAGGGTTATCGGTAGCCAGTATTTCAGTGGTCTACATAATGCACACGTCTACATGATTGCTTACAGTCACTTTGAGAGGCAGTTTAAAATCCAAAGATGGATGTGGCTACACAGATATTCCCTGACGTAAGAACGTGCTGACGTGCAGAAAAGTTAGGTTTCACCAAGATAACTGTTTCGCAATCTGTCTGAACAATGTAAAGGTTGCTGTTGCCATACTAGCTATCAATTTATTTACCTTGATATACAGTGTGTTTCGGCAAGAGACACTTGGAGTACAAAACTTTAACTGGACAACAGAAACAACAATAAAACTCGATGATTCCAGAAGTTACTTCTTCCCTTCTTTTAACAAATGATCTTATTAAAATTGAATGACAATTTCGTCAAAATAGAAGTACTCAAAGGAATTGCACTATGATCATTATTCGAACTCAAAATTTATGCCATCCTCCTCATAATTTTATTGCTATGAGTTCTCGTGCTAATTGTAGTTAAGTCTTTGATTTCAACATCAATCAATAAACGTTTGAGTTTTCAAGGGAAAGTGAGTTACTTCAAGGTTTTAGATGCAGCTTACTGAGGGCTAGCAACAGGTAAGGGATTCCTCCAACCGATTATATTCACCCATCCAACAACAGATAATTTTAGTTCATCTCCCTAAATAAACTGTGTTGTCCTTAACATAATTTATCACGAAAATTTATCTGATTTTTTCAGCCTATATAGACGAAATCACTGCCAACTAACAGTCAGTAGATGGTGAACACTGTTTTATCATTTGAATCCCCTCCCCAGGTATGTAAAGTTCGCTTTTAGTTATTGATAAAAAGTGTTGACCTTTCATTTCTCTGTTAGAGTCTTTAGGTGCATGTAAGAGAAATGATTAGTTTCAACTTTTTTTCCCTTTCAGATCATACATATGTGGAGTGATTCCATAATCTTCTTTTGTTCTTTTTTTACCAAGTATTCAGTTTTTTTCTTCGTGTTTAAACTTTAATAGTATTGCACGCTTAACATTTAACTAGGTAAAGAAAGGTATGCGCGTGTCTTTGTGTGTTTGTTCGCTTGGGTATGTATACCAATTTTGCCAGTCTTATTTCACTTTACAAGATCAGAGGTAATATCACATTAGCCAATCAAAGTGAATGTTACTCAAGGTCAACTAATAAAGCATAGTATGGGTACGCTATTAATGATGTTCAGGTACTGCTAACACTACTTCCATTCACTAGAAATATCGATAAAATCTATGGGATATGGTTCTATTTTCTACACAAAAGAAATAGGACATGAATTTAGCTTCGTCGGTGTGTGTGTGTCTGTTTGCATGTTTTTGTGTTGGGATCATAACCAAACATGGATTCTTGTTAGCCAACTAACCAAACTTTATGTACCCCTTACTATCAGGTATTTACTTTATCTGCGTAATCGATAAGAATGTATGGAAATTGCAAACTGTCATTCAGAAAATGAAAAATAATAGAACAGTTAGGAAATAATTTTTTACAGGAAAAAAAGATCTGCAAACCAATACATGCGGATTCTAATTACCCTTTGAAAAAAATGTTCTGACCAGGTGGAATCGACATCCACTTAGCAACCTTGTGTACATTAGTGCAGTAGGTAACAAGTGACACCTATTGTCCGAGGGATAGCGATAATACTTGGCTGCCCGAACCTTTTTAGGTGGAGCGGTGTTCGAACTCACTGCCTCCTAGCTGAAATTCAACCTCTTAAACCAATGAGTCTCAAATCTATGGGACTCGAACCCAGGGCCGATTGCTTAAAACGTCAGAGCGCTAACCACTAGGCCCTTGAGTCACTAAATAGATAAAAATTCAAATTTAGAAGAGATATTTGCATAAAGCAGCATCTTGGGGGTTATTGTAAGGTGATTGGTAATCAATCACTTGGAGGATTAAATGATTAAATCGGAATCATAGGCACACTAGGTCTATAGCAACGAGGAAATTCATCCTCTCTTTCTACAGGATGTCTTATCCTTTTGTCAAGAAGCAAATATTTTAGTATTTTGGATACATAATACCTGTGTGCCTGAAACTACCAATGTACGTCGTCTTAAACTAATCATACTTGATCCTATTGAATACAGAGTAGTTGACATTAGTAAGGTGCAGAATCTAGGAAATAGCTTAGGCATAGATAGCTAGGCATGTATTGAAACATAATCACGTAATAGGATGGAGTGGAGACACTTTTAAAACTAAGTCGCATAGATGCTGGGAGAAACTGACTAATAAGGCTTTGTTTATCGAATTAACTGAAGCAACATGTGGTAAACAGACTTAAATAAAATTACCCTTTGTCGGTGCCCAGGTTATATTCCTACAACTGAGGGGCACTTAAAGACACTGGCCTATACACAATAAGCCATAGACTATGTAAAGTGTCTGTGAGATAACGTCCTAACAACCAGTATCTTTTCAAATGAAGGTATCTACGTTCACCAGTTAGCATGAAGTATCAGTCTCAAGCGTTTGAAACCAGTTGCGTTTGCATAAGGATGTATCCAGTTGATGAGTTTACAAATAGGACAAAAAGATTGGTAATTGAGGTTTCCATCACATGTCAATGGGGAAGTAGAAAGCTCTTCCTATTTTACTGGCCTCTTTTCTCTTTAATTGGTGAGTTGTACCAAATTTGGAGATGGCAAATGTCCCCATTTTATCTATTTAAATCGATAACCTAAAGTACCATACAAAAGAGTTATACAAACCTGAGAGATTAATTTGATTATTGAAAAACAACCAACCTAATAACATCAAAAGTAATCTTTTTTTACACAGAACCTTGTAGCTTTATGTACAACACAGTGGGTACAATGTTGTATAGTATCGTTATTAGACAATAACTATGTTCGATTCTTCATTGTGGTTCAAACAGTCAACCACTTTTGAGTGTAGCGCATAAGCACTCAAACAAAACTTTTCACTGAAAATTGAATGGGATTTCTCTACATCAGTTCAGTGATACTGAGATGGATGATAAGTACAAAATAATGATTTCCTAATGTAGATGTTACCTTGTTTTAAATTGTAACAAATGATCACATGGTGAGATAGTTAATATGATACAGCGATGTTTTCCAAAACTGTTATTTTTAAAATAAGTATCGCTTAAATTATCACTTAAACCTTTTTCAAGATTTCATAAATTAATGTTTTTAGAGATGAATAACTTCCACTTACAGTCACTGTGTGTAAGTTTCAAGAAATCAGGAATTTGGTCTTTATCTTCATCTTCCATAATATCTGGAATGCCGTCGTCATCATCATCTCCGTCTACATCGTCAGGAATACCATCGAAGTCACTATCAATTTTTCGCATTTTCTTTTTGTATCGTACTTTTAATTTTATGTCTGAAACATCAGTACGGCAATCTAATATACCATCACCATTAGAATCTTCATCTTCAACATCTGGAATACCTGTAAAATTGGAGGAGAAAAACATATTTCACAGAAATTCTCTGGTATCTTCAATAAGAACAGAAAATAGGATAAACTTATGATTGATTTATGCGATCCACAAAGTATATGCTAGTGAACGAGCTTAAAACATATTTAATTTCATGTGGGACCGACCAGTTGAATAAAATTTTCACTACACTCTACTCAAATGAGCAAAGCATACAAATTGTTACCAGTTCCAAAGATCTTGAATTTGTCGTCTAATTAGTCATCTCATGACTTTCTTCTCTAATTTATTGTTATCTGCGAAATCTTAAAACTTTATTCTTTTCACACTAGATTTATTCATTGAATATGCAAACAGTAATATAGTATTATTTACAGGATAATCAACTTTCTGGTTTACTTTTTAGTGGTTCTACTACTTCCTGTTGTTTGGTTCGATTCATTTTAGGATTTACTGTAGGATCTGGAATCGATGTCGAATCATTTCTATTACAAGTGTCAACTGTTGAAACGACTAATAGAAATTCAGTGATTAACCTTCCCACTTAACCTGATTAGTCTTTACGACTATTACTTTGTCCCATCCTATTGTATAGTTGCGTTAACGCATCCATAGTAATGGTTGAATTCCTTGCTAGATTAATCAGCACATTAGAGTTCATTGACTTGTGTAAACTTAAGTAGGCTCCTATGTTTTGTTAACCTGACGGAACTCAGTCGTCTATTTTGGCCTATGTACTTGATCTCACAGTAGTTGAAGGGTAATTGATAAATTAAATTTTGTTTGATTTGGTCAATAGAATCTTGATACCGACAAAGTTTGTCTCATTATAAATTTGCAAGTGTGAATACCGCCGTTATCTCAATCTTATTGAGAATCCTACACATGATTTTTGATGTCACTCTATGGAGGCCTCGAATTTCTTTTTAGTCGTGTTACAGTCTGCTTTTCCTGTTCTCAAAGCTATTTTATGGATTTCGGAATAAATTCAGGTAGATATTTCTTAAGAAATAAAGTTGCTTTTATGTATTTCAGTTATTCTTTTAATTTTCTAGAGAAACCGATTACACAGTTAGCTCAAACAGTTAAACATTTGACGAAACTTGCGGTTAATGAGATGGGGTGGAATGACCTGAATTTTAGATATATACTGGAACGGGTTAGCTTTCCGTAGACTGTTATGTCTAAGCCAACGTCTTGTCTTCGTTCCATTTAATTCTTGGAATTGTATGCAACACTGTGTAATATATTGTATTCCCACTTTCTCAGGTAACTGAGTCAGTCATCATCTCAGCCTAATTCATACATTCACTACGATTATTTAAACTGGAAAACTCCCTGTACATCATGTATGGATGAATTCTGAAGTTAATTGGGGTTTAAATTTTAGTTCTAAGGTAGCATTCATCGCGGAATGACATCAATTGGAAAATAATGAAAACTTGGGAGCACTGGATAACTGTTTCGTCCTACTACAGGACTCCTCAGCAGTACGCACCGACGACCCGGCCAAGGATAGAATTTAGGACATTCAGGTTTCACGGCGAATGAGTTAACCATTCAGTCACTGGGTAGTAGTTAAGTGGTCCACGGTTTCCTACTTCTGTCGTTTCGCGACATAGTGCGACTACCACTCAAAGTCTTCGGTTGACATCCGCTCTACTTCCAACTGGTTTTCAATGATCCTCCGATCGATATCGGTCCATGATGAATGCTACACCAAAGATATATGAATACTGACAAAACGTGAATCTTAGCCTAGCATTTTGAAAAGAGAAATATTGAAATAAAAGAGGAAGGATACTAGGAAGTTGAAACACCAAAGAAGGTGACAACATCTGCTATATTTAGTGTTGTACTTGCCAGATAATGCAATAATGATATCTTCAGAAGTAAAACAGAGATGCAATTAAACTTTAATACTAAATGGATAGCTGGATTGGCTTTAGAGATGTTGTTCCCTGGATTAAGCACTTGATATTTAATGTATAATAGGATGAAAATTGATTTTTTCTTCAATGAAATCTGGCATTCAGGATACCAATCTGTTAAGAGACTCATCTACTGGCTAGGTAAGTCTGCTGGTTTAAATCTTCGTGCGATCCTATTTCTCTCTTGGCTTCAGACAAACAGCTTACTAAATCGTAACCATTCTGCTAAGCCTGGACTGTCTCACTTAATCTCGTCGACATTCAGCTTATAGCCAGTAGGTCACAATTTCGAAAGTTGCTCCACCTATAAATATTTGAACAGCCTGGTGGTAATCATCACTGACCATAACACAGAAAAGCATATTTTATTACTTAGTGTATGGATCCACTAGGAAACTGCTGATGTTTGCGCATTTAACACAAGGAACTTGAAACATGCTGATTTGATCTGAAAAGTTCAGTTCTCTTGACTAAACTACCTCAGATGCAAAACTGAAGAGATTCCAGCTTTCAGCAGATTGAAACGTTGTCTACAATTCACACATATTATAGCATACTAGCTTGTTGTTTTTGCATGATTCATAGTACTTTCATATATGGTTGGAGACGGTTATAATAAATGACATCGGACGAGAATAAAGCCTAGGTTGGTGGTTATCAGCAGACTGATTTTAAAGCAAATCAGTTGAGGTAATTTTTTAACTGTTGTTTTGAGAATGTAGGGTGATGTAGACTAACCGGTTAGAGACCGTGGGACAAGAGTAATCAGTGGTTAGAGACTATAGGTGATATTGCTCAGAACCGATGTCAATCTCGCAGATGCCTACACGCATTATCCTCAACTTAACCGCTATGCTTCATCTCATCATTTTCTCATTCTTCCTTCCTCCGTTTTATTATTTTCTACCTATTCTGACCTATTTTTATTTCTTTCATCTTCTAGTTTACTATCTTGTTGCTTGATGTCCTGACATTAGATATATCAACTTGGACTGTAACGCAGTAGTGTCTGGTCCCATGTTGATCTTGATGATGATGGTGAGAGATAATTTTACAACTGAATACGGAAACTGTATGTGCCACAACTAGTTTGATAAAAATTTATAGGAAAAATATTCTTGGTCTGCCGAAATAAACATGAAGATCTACACTTTGATTAAACGTAGGCAAAGTGTGCCGCGCAGGCGACAGAAATTAGAACGTTTCTTGAATGCCATATTTAATATGTTGGTAAGAGGTTACATATTTCTCAATACTGATGCTATAGCTTGAAATATCCCGTTGCTTATTGAACCGAATTGATTGTCTACTCACAGTATATGGGTTCCTGCGTGGATACCTTGATACTGTTGGTGATTTCAGTCTCATGGTAAGAATGATCCGTAAGGGTCGATCAATTCGGTTCAATCAGCGACGTAAATCCACAGGTCATGCCATCGAAACCATACTTGCCACACAAAAAGCGGCTATCACGACTCAGTAGTCTAGCCAATAACGCTCTGGCGTTCGATGCGATGAGTCCTAGTTTGAATCCCACTGAGGGGCACGTATATCCGGATGAGGAGTCCCAAATAAGACTAAACGCACATTCTGGATTCCGCTGCCAGGAACTATGCATCATTTCTTACTATTGCCTGTTAAGAATTATTCTGAAGTTATATTTATCAGTGATTATCAAGTATTTAAGGTTTACTTTCTATTCACAAAACGAAGGATTATCGTCTCACTTTACCTGGTACTTTGTAACGTTTAGGTTTAACCTTAAAATTCCAACCAGTGCGTCATGAGTTTGAGCTCTGTTCCACTTACTGAGATTTAGCAACCAAGTTAGTACCACGAGTCTTCACATAACAGGTATGACAAAAACCTGAACATAGTTACTGAGTTCCATTCATTCATTGGTTCACTTCGAAATTTTTCCAAGATTAGATATGATGGTTCACAGGGGAATGTTAATGTAATGATCAACTACAGAAATGAGGATAGAAGTCCAGAGGAACTGAATACACACATGATAAATTCCAAAATGGATGCAATGACACTAGTTACTTATCAGTGGCAACAGCGAAAGTCTCACTTAATTCTTAGACAAAAATATTTTCCATCGCACATACACTTATGTGTCAGGTAGATAAAATACAACGGTAGATAGTTTCTGCTCAGATTGGGTGAATCACCACTCCTCGGACTTGCCTTAAGTAGGAAAAAGTTTCGGCACCAGTCTAGATGTCATTTTTACTGAGGCTCTGTGTGGGTAGACTACATGGATAATACTTCATGATTTCCCGTTGTATACACGATTCTTACTAGTCCTTTCAAAAGTTCTCAGTTCAATTGAACTAAGATTTGTATGAAGAGTAGAAATTCATTTAGCTTCTCTATGAAGATGCACTGAAGATGACACCATTACTGATGTTAAAATGTTCATCTATTAAAAATCATCTTAAGACGAATTAAATACTGTTAAAGCTTAAGTACTAAGGATTTTCATACCATCATTATCATCATCTTCGTCAATATGGTTCAGTAGTCCATCCCAATCCGAATCCTGAGTACGATCCAAAAGACCATCATTGTCCACATCTTCGTCAATATCATCTGGTATACCATCACAATCATGATCATTTATATTACCAACAATTCGAACATGTTTTGATTTTGGTACGGTTGCCTTAGAGTTTAAATTTGATACAATAGGCTTCTTTGATTTTTCCTGTTGTGGGACAGATTTAGGTATAATCTTCTTAGAATTGTCTTCTGTATGCTTTGTTGACGGTGGTGATTTTGATTTGTCAGGTTGATTTTGCTGATGATGCTGATTTGGAGGTGATTTTTCTTTGCTTTGTTTATACTTTTGACTTTCAGATATCTTCGGTGTTGGCGTTTTGGTTGTTGTTTTCCCTTTTGTCGTTGTTGCAGGTTTCTTGTTCTTTGCATTACCAGATACTGGTTCAGAATGAGATTTCGATTTGGCTGTAGGAGAGGATGTTGTTTTCACCGTCATTAACTTTCTCGAACCTATGTACAAGTAAAAAGTAAGTATTTTATTGAGGTTTTCATTATTTAATTAGGATAAATAGTCATTATTCAATTCAGTTACAGTATTTACTTTTTTCTTTAAAATAGTTTCGAACTATAGCGCGAAAGTTAAATCAGAAGACTGGATGCAAAGTCTTAAATCAGAAATGAGTAACCAGAGTGTTGCTTATTCAATGAAAGAACATAGTACGAAATCCTGTAAAATTTCCTACTTTATTTGAAATCTTTTCTACATTAAAGTACCCAACAGAATTAAAATCAGTAACTCACACTATTCTTCTGGGTAGCCTTCACTGTGATGTTTATTAGCGACGCACTAGTGTACCTCATGGACTAGGGTTTTAGTTTGCAAAACCCTAGCTCAAAGAACAACTCATTTAGAACACTCTGCTCTTTAGACAAAGACAAAAAGTTGTATCTAATGTAGAACTAATCTAACAAAGTTAGCTTCAACGGAATGTTAACAAAAGAGAAGAAAGTGAAATGCAAGAATATAAGCAAGACTGACCAAATGTTGTGGATTGCAAACGCTAGATAATGTACAGGTGTATGTGTCACTGAAGCTTGAAGAAGGTCATGTTGTCATGTTTATCGAAGTAGTCTCTAAAAAGTAGTGTTTGACAGATTTCTTTGACCTACTTCTCATGCATGTTGGTACCCTAATCAACGTAAAGAACAGGCTATAAATCTCGAATAAAGACAGTAGAAATACAATTTGCCCTAAGTTTTTGGATATTCTAATTTAATGAGTCTTAACAGCTATAACCTTACTTGAAAAAAACCCTACTAGTAACTATAGTGATTGTAAACAAAGTTAATTCTGTGCATTGTTTTGAGCATGAATATGGTTTCATTTTTGTTTGAATGTTCAATATCACTACCGTACAACTACGTTAGTATACTGAACAGTGTTACTTTGGAAGGTTTAAACAGGTTTAATCAGTTAATCTACCTACTGAATCCTAGCTGATTGAAAATAAATTGATGAAATCAAGTGGAAAAGTCAGTAGTCTGTTTGAATTACAGAATGAATATGATCACTATGCAGTCTAACTTTCCTGGGGTCACCACCGTATGGGGCTGTGGATACTGTTAGAGATTTCTTAAGTGGAAAGAAATAACAACACAATATTCTGTGATCTGTTTTATCGTTCTGTCGTAATACCGATTTCCAATCAATTATCTCGCTATATAATTCTCAAGCGATCAGTAGAATTGTAAAAGGTTGGGTCCTTCATATTGAAATAATAAGTGTGTATGAACTTGAGATCAGTTAGTCGGTATCCATATGGAGTCTGAAATTACTGTGTGACAGATAAAGTTGCTACATCTCATACTAGCACATCAAGACACAAGATAGCTGAATGAAACATAGAGAAATCGAAAGGAAAGTTATACGAAGAGGGGAAGGAGATTGGAAAGCAATAACGAAATGTGATACGACAATTAGGATGAAGATAATTTGTGGTTGGATCTGGCATAGATTTTTAGTCAACAATCAACTATTTTGGTTGTCAAGTGGACCCTAGTCGGGAAGTCTAAATTTTCCTACACAGATCAAGTCAGCAGTCAAAGAATACATGAACTAATCCCATGTTTTAGTCAGGCCACTTCTAACGTTTTCTAGTTTGAAGCTACTTCCAATCATATATTAGAACAGAGTGTAGTATTGAAAAGTAAACTTAATAATCGAAAATCTCTCCTGTATTACACATGGTGTAACTTAGTAAAAGTAAATCGTGTCTTCTGTAAATCGTTTTAAAACTGTGAGGTGATTTAATTCTACTTGAATGCTAGTTTACGACAGAAAAGTGTAGCTACTGACTGATCAAAAATGTGTATAGTTCTTTTTGAACCCAATTAGGCTTTATGGTCACAATCATTATTTCTCTATGCAAAATGCTTTTCCAACAGTTACACCGATTTTCGGGGTTTTTTCAATGATAAAAAGGTTGCTTCGATGTCTGTTTTGCTTTCACGTGTTGCTATAAGGTACAAAAGTACAAATATTTTTATATTACAAAGAAAGCCAAATTTCTAATTGCTAAATTAAAACGAAAATCTACTTTTTGGTATGATACTATACAGTTCAGTATACACAAATGTTTTAAATTGTTGAAGAAAATAGTCTTTTGGTATGTACAAAAGTCATGCGGATAAGATTTACTAGGTTATTGAAAGTTAAACCACTTTATTTAACTTTCAATCATTTCAGCAGGTCATGTTGAGTTTTCGGTGCTAACCAAACTCAATCACAAAGTATGGGCAAAGTGACCCTTTATGTTGACTTTTCAAGCTAACCATAATGGAATGGTAACTTGTAATTGAAGGTAGTGTCTACAGGGTACAAGTTTGACTGGTATCAGTTGGAATCAGGACATAATGTTAGTTCTAGAATTTAAAACTAGTTACTGACAGAATGCTATGAAATAAATATCTTTATTCTTAAAATATTTATGATTATATTTCGGATATGTTGAGGGTATACAACATGTGAATAATTGTAATTTGAGTAGAAGAATGATCGTTTCTAAACTAAGTAATGTCAGCGAGTGAATACATCTGCGTCATTGTGACCAATGTTTAGTCGTGTCACCAAGAATCCTCAATCACTGTTTTGGGGACCCCAGACTAGTAGTCTACATCTCTCAACACAGCTCAGACCAATAGTAAGGGACTTCTTCGACTAACTGACCTTAGATAAGAATGATACAAAGTTCAATCTATCTCAGGTTTAGCAAGATATATAGATAAGTGGTTCAAAGTACATACGAACTGTTCACCAATCAGTAACTGATGTAGCCGTCTGGTCCTTATTTCCTACCTCTGATCAAAGTTATCAACTAATTTTGGGGTTTGGTGCGACAATGCGATACGCTATGCCGTGAAATTAGATGGTAAGAATCAGTTGGAAGAAAGCCCTGGCTATAGGTTTCACGCTGATGAGTGTCAACAGGCACGAAGCTTAGGTCCATGGTGTCCTGACGATTAACACTCAACATACAACATCAGTACCTAAACCGCACAAAAGGGTATCATTTTAGGCTGTCAAACATCAAAACATCCAAAAAAAGAAGGATTAAATGGCAGTAGAGTGATGGTAAAATGAATAGGAGGGATGGAAAAGCAAAGAACAAACTAACAAAGATTTAAATTAGACGAAAAGTGAATGCATGTGTGCCACTGTGTTTAATGTCTTGAAGTGTTGTTGAGTAGTACCAACTACTGAATTCTAACGCTGAAGGGATTTTAGGCAGGCTACTTATATTTCCAGCTCAAACAAATAGTCAGAAGTGATAAGGACAGGTACTTTGGTCATAGATTTTTTATTCTCTTTCGATTTCAGCTTATATTAGGTGTTGAGGTGTTGTGTATGTTAAAGTCAAGATTTGACCTGATAGAGTTAAATCAGTCAAGCACTGAGTGAATAAGACATAATGGAAGAAAAATTTAAATCTCAATGTTTTCTGACCTTGAAGAAGCCGCTTTTTTAAAACGTAGATGAACTATACAGATATGTGGGCTGGTCAACTTTATCTGAAATTACAGAATAAGTTGTTCAGTAATTAAATGGCTTTGTTCTGAGTAGCTTCAATACCAGTTCGTCACATCTTTTGATACTATGTTTTTAATAAGCCTTCATCACTTAAGTTTATTTAAAGCAACTCTTTACAGCTAAAAAGGATACTATTGAACAATGAACATATTCATTAAAACAAAAAAAATTGATTGAAGAATTAATTTCCAGAATTTCACTTAAGTTTTAGTCTGTTAATGACAACTTAAATGATATTTATTCATTGAAAACATATGCAGAGCTGAAGAAATTAAATTCATGATAAATGCGCACCCACAAATATGTCATCACACTAAATAAGATTACTACAATTGACTACTGAAATTATTGTAATGAATAAAATGATAAAATAGTGAGAAGCCATAAATACGTACAACACGTTCAACTAAATTCATCTTCACTACAAAACTAACTCAAAAGAAATTGGATATCTTATTTTTCAAACAAGCAGTAAACTATAATGAAACTTTGTTTGAATCGTAAACTATGGCGTTAAAAAAGAAAGTGAGCTACATATGCATTAAAGCTATACAAGATCATCTAATCAACTTATTTTCATCAGCATGCATCATTCACTTCCGTTAAAATATTGGTTTTGAACTTTTGTCGCTACTCAGTAACAACGACATTGTTAAAGTTGAATTTTCAATAGACGAAGCTAATTGTTTGTATGCATGTGTGCGTGCGAGCGAGGGAACAAGTGTGAGTGTTTCAAGCTGGGCAGATGCGACAATCAACGTGCACATGTGTTTAGATGAGCTTGCAGAAAATTAATCCTACAAAATCAGTATATATTTGCCTAAGTATCATCAGTATTATTCCATATTCCACTAAGCTTACCAGGCCAATTAGGATTTAATTCTTCATCAGCCTCTATCCAATCACTGAAATCTGGATCATCAACATCTTCATAGCCTTCTTCAGCTGAAATCTCCAAATCTAAATCTTCTGGTTGATCATCTTCACTTTCTTCTTCGACATCTTCAGTTTCATCGTATTCATTAGTGTAGTCTTCTTCAACTTTTACATTTGTGTGCTGATTATGACCGGAAGACTTTGTCTTAGACATATCGAATTTATACTCTGTGCTTACAACCTGCTCATCATCATCATCACCAGCGTCATCGTCAGCATCAGGAGTATCGGTATTAACATCATCATTTTCCTCACCATCGTCTTCGACATCGTTCGCATCGGCGTCTTCATCTTCACGGAGAAACTGTTTATCATTTCTAACACCTTGGTGACAGTCTGATCTAGGGACGTCACTATTATTATCATCATCATCATTATCGCTGTCATCCTCATCTTCTTGGTGATGACTATCAACCTCGTCGTCATCAGCATCATCACTATCTTCTTCATCATTGTCACCATCTTTCTGTTTACTAATATTCTGTTCTTTTGTTATTTCCTCAGACTTTTGTTCAGTAGTTTTTAAAGTTTTCTCTTCGTTTACTTGTTGTTTATCCACAGATGCATCAGATAAGCTTTTAGGATTGGAAGGAGTTGTTTTAGTTTCTGCGACAGATAATAATACTAAATCCTCCTCATCGTGGTCCCCCTCCTCATCTGCGTCATCGTCTTGTTCGTCTTCCTGCTCACTTTTATTCGTAACAGTATACCTTAAATATTGTTTCTTTTTATGCCTAGAGGCGCACATTGATAAACAATTCCTATACTCAGTATCGCTGTCATCATTATCAGTATCATCATGATCATCATCATCATCTATAGACTCTTCTAATTTACGCATGTGTCTAAATGTTGTTTTAATGTTTGACTCTGAAATTTCCTCACCTAAGTCAACTCCAGAATCTTCATCGACTTCTTCCTCTTCTTTATCATCATCTGTTTCTATTTGGTTGTCACTGATTTCATCGTCTTCATTGTCGTTATCATCGTCATCTTCAATAACCTGGTACCGATCGTCTTTCTCATACTTTACGTCAGTGCTGTCATCAGCAACCGATGACTCACTCCTTGTAGTGTGAACCCGAGAATTGCATCCTAAAAGTCGCCTACACGTGGGGCATTTTTGTATAGCCTACAAAAAAGAGGAAATAAGAAATGAAGAGGAAGTGAGAAATATTTCCAATAGCGAATCAGATTCGTAACTGAAAAGACACGTTTTTCGGATTGAGCTAATGTGATTAATGGACGTCCCAGTGTCGCATATTAGACACCATCGGGAGCAATACCAAATCTTCATCTGCAAGTATCTATCAATACATCTAAAGGGTAGCTTTCATCATAACTGTGTCAAATTTCCAGGGCTCCACTAACAAGGCTTACTAACACAAGTCTGTTAGTGATATAGGGTGGTGGTTGATAGGATGTGCAAGTCACCAAAGAATTTGAACCGGCAGAATCAGACTATATGGTGTACCTAGAACTCATAAAGTTGGTGTACGACTGAGGTCAATTTAAACTCAGAAGCATACAGAACAGACTTGTGTTATCCCTGGATGGTACGTCAGTATTCACGAATGTTCCACTAGCGGATTATACATCAGAAAATAGACTGAACATTAACCTGCATGAATATGACTTAAGGGAATTATTATTACATGTGCTTAATAATCAGTTTATTTCTGACCATATTATATGCAAACAGGCAGACTGAGTGGTAATGGGTATCCCACTCGGGTCACTGATTGCCAAACTGTTCGTGTCAAAGTTATAAAATGATATTTTGAATCCGTACATAAATTCAATGAATATTTATTGCAGATAAATGAACGATGAAGGCAAGTGAGTTACTAACTAATTTTAGTAAATCTAACTCGCAGATAACATTTTCTCATCAACAAGAAAACTCAGGCAAAAACTCTTTCTTAAGAGTCCTTTGTACTAGATCATATGGAGGAGAAATCATCAGAAGTGTGGACAGTATACAAACGTTTGTGGTAAGTTCCGCTGTGCTCAAAGAGAACTTGGTTTAACGTCTGTTTAAAGGGATAAAGAGAATCCGCTATGATGCTATGTTGGATTAATATTTACGAAATTCGATGGAAACGTTCAGACAGAAGAGAGTCTTTGAAAGTTTTGTTAAGAAGAAAATTATAGGATGATCGGACAAGTCATTCATCTCCACCTGTAGTAAAATGCAAGTATTCGTCAGCTTTCTGGTTAAGAGCGAAAGTATGGTCAAGATTATTGTGAATACTTTGATGTCCATGGAAGAAGACGCTTCCAGCAGCCATCCTGGCGCTGGCTTTCAGCAACAAATGTATCTAATCAATGTGCCAGAAAGATATGATTTCCTACATGCTCTTATGGAGCCAGTTATTTAGAACTCACTATAAGGACCCTTTCACAATAATTTTATTCCTAAAAGTAGCTAAATATACAGGTAAATGTTAATATTCAAGTTCATGTGACCACTCAACATGTGCATGTTTCTTCGGATAAGCCTGAGAAATCTTATTGTAAAAAATATATTAGCTGGAATTATCGTCTTTTCAAAAATAATATCCTTGATATCGTCTTCTACACAATTACAACAATACAATCAATTGCAGTGACATGTAAACCGGTCTTTAGCTAGTAAATCATCCTTAAAGGTCATAAATATCTTAGGAAAAAAGAGAAGATGATTGGAATGAATAATAAATCCCTCTTTACTACCAACTCATTCTCTAAGGTGTACATTCGTCAATACACAGCAGAAAGGATAAAACATTTCAGTGTGATTTCCTGTCAAAGGTCAAAATAAACTGCATAACAAAGGAAAGTTGTATGACTTTGATAGGCGTTTAAAATAGGGAAATAAATAAAATGAAATGTAATTACATTTTTAAAGGAATTATCTAGAGTGATCGACTGTTTACGATAACCCCAGAAAAGAAGAAGGTTGAACATACTTCTGTTGAACGCACAATGATGATTTAAACTCTGAATCTCTAGTACTTCAGTTATGCTTAAATGTCTTAACCTTACTCCTTGAGACAGGGCTTGGTTGTACTTTGTACAAACTTTTGAAGGAATTATCAAAAGGAGCCAAGTGTCCTTAATTTTATCGAGTGTTATGTTACTCAACTGAAGATGAATTTCCGTTGTTAGTCAGGCTGGATAGTGTTAATGGGCAGGTTTCACAAGCTGGTGCATCGTACCTCTAATGTACTCGGCTCCACAGGAGCAAGCAAACGGATACACACAAAATGATGTACCCGAATGCTCCAGCTTTTCCTTCGCTTACTGCCGAATGAGATTCTTGGGTTGCCATGGCTATTTTAAGGGATCTATCACTTATGGTGTGATTTCATTTCGATTTGTGATCATTTGTTTATTTCCCTATTTTAAAATCCTATAAGTATTTCCTAACTTTCCTTTTCATGTCAATTATTTCAAAATTTGACAGGAAATCATACTTAAGTGTTCTATCCTTTCTACTATATAGTGACGAATATACAGCCAAAAGAATGAGTTCGTCAGGAAGAGAAATTTTTCTTCCCTGCAATTCTCTTCTCTCTTATCCTATGATTAAATGCGTTTGTTCCGATATCTGTAAGTATCTCACAATTCAAAAGTCACCTAACTTGTTTCTAACTAGGGTGCTATGAGTCGAGTTGTTCGACTTCTGTTGGCAGATAGGCTCCTACGTGGATGCCTCGCTGCTACTTAGATATTCACTAAACTGCAGTCCATTTTATGGCTAGTAGTAGAATCCACGACACGCGTTTCTTCCTACTTGGGACTCGTCAGCTGAGTGTACAGGTGGTGGCTCCCATATCCCAGTGGCATAGTAGATGACTCTCTGGTATGTATAGCGGTGGGTACTGAATCCGAGTCTTAGTGGGGACAACTTCACTCGCTGTAATACAGAAACGTCCATCTGACGAATCCCGAGTAGGGTAAAACGCACGTTCTGGGCTCCACTGCTAGCCACAAAGTAGACTGCGACTGTATCAACAGTCTTCCCATAATAGGTATGCCTCATTTTATAGTACACAAAACTTTGATTTTTTAAGGAATAAATCAAAAACTCTTGAACTGCATGAAGAATTAAGAATATTGCCACGGGTAGCTGACACCATTAATATCAATAATCTCATGAGTTTAAACTTTCATCGTATGACATATAAGTAAGTAGTCCATTGAATTTTCTTGAATATACAGAACATGTAGTTGAGTAATGAGGGAGTTTTTTGAACAAAAACCTAATTACTATGTTTGCTATGGTTTTGTTCGAAGATACAGTGAGATAATCTTAGAGAACGTTTTTATCACCAGCTGATAACAGCTGCCAAATCAGTGTAATGTAGTAGCTTTAAATTTCTTATGAGTTTCATAGTAAATCAACCTCAGAACGTGTATGTATCCACCTTAAGTGCTATTAAAGATGCAATCTAAACTGTAACATAAATCAAATCACGGTAAATCGTGAATTATGTGAGACCGTAAATCATTTAACCTTAAATTCTGACTTATATTCTGAAGACTAATCAACTCCTTGCAACAATACAAGTTCTTAAGTTCACTCCTGTATACAGCCGATAGTGTACAATGTAGAATAGCTTTAAACTAGGATACCAATGGCACAATTTCCAGTTTATCGATGTCTAATGATATTTTAATGCTGAAATCAATCAAATCAGTCTGTTCTCCTATTCATATCATATATTTTGCTGATTTTTTAGGTGAAGTACTCAGATAACACAAAGGCTGCAATTTAATATCAAAAACGTGATTGTAGACAAAATTAAAAAGTTATTTAATTATTCCATGGATATGAAAAGATAGATTTTATGTTATGATGTCTGAGTAATGGTTAATCATAATTTCCTAACCTTACTACTGTTTCTAACCAGTAATTTGTTTCAAAACAAGCACAGTACAGTAAGCGCATCATAAGAGATCTCACACCAAAAAGAAAACAAAACAATAAATAAACATTATGAAGTTTCAAAGGATGAGAGCAAGAAGGAAAGAGTGATCACAGAAGAGGCATCTAAAACGTCTTCATTATGTTGATGTTATAGCTTGTAGATCTCAGCCGTTGATTAGGCCGAATTGGTTGGTCACTATTGGGATATGGGTTCCTGTGCGGATACTTCGATATTGCCAGTATTTTCGAATTTTAGACATCCATATAGGAGCCCATATGCTGATGGTGACGGATAAATTCAGTCCAATCAACGACGGAGATGCACAAGCTAAAACATCAAGGACTGTACTTCACCCACCATACAAGGAGTGGTTATTGTGACTCAGTGGCTAAGTAGATAACGCTCTGGAGTTTAAACTGATTGATTCCGGGTTCGAGTTCTGGTGAGAACAAAATCACAAACTAGTAGGTAGGTACATCCAGCTGACGAGCCCAGAATAGGACAAAACGCGCATCTTGGATCCCACTGCTAGCTAATGTCATCTTCATTACTGTCGTATTATTTCTGAGGAGCATATGGCACAAGAAAGCCTGTAACATGATTGCAGCCGGTTACGATTCGTTGTCATATCTGGTAATATTTCTTAAATTATTTAGAAGCTCACGCAGAAAGTCATATTACAACAGTAGATGCTAACTGAATCCAACTTCCGATTTTCCTACAGTCCAACCTGATAAACTGACCACTCATATTTTACTTCCATCCAGTCTTAGGATCGGTAAACTAACAACGGTCAGGAAGCCATTACGACAGTAAGCCCACTTACTACTGTTAGCATGCAGCCAATGAAGCCGAACTTTATTGTCAGTAGGTAAAGTAGTGGAATGGTGAATTACACAGTACCCAATTCTCCCGTTCACATAACTCGATGGCAGATGAGACCCAAGATATCTAACTTGATTATCTTTTAGCGCCTAGTTTGTCGATTCACTTCAGGTTTATTGGATAGTTAGTTTTCGCCTGAAAAGTTCAACACTAGCGTAGGACTGAGATGCTAAAAAAGAAAAACCATTTTGTATAGCTGAATCAAAATGAAATACCCTGAGTTGGTAGATAAAAATTACGCTCATTCAAGTGTCAATGAGAATAAAACTTCAGGCAGGATGCATTTTGTCGGACAAATTTAAAAGCGACTTACATCAAGCATTAGTAATTAGTTAATCAAAACAATTTTTGTAGGAATAAAAGCTACTTACACCAAACTCGGAGAGAATATCACTTTCAGAAGATGGGATAACTGGTATGCGTCTGCTGTGTTCTGATATACTTCCCAGTTCACTTGAGGATAATTTACTGCCTTCAGTTCTGTTCTGCCTCCATATATCTTTATAGATCTGATAGGAAAATGAATATTTTCAAAGTTGAATCTATAATGACTAGGCATTAGCTTACATCTATATTCAGATGAAATCACATCTGTGCAAAAATTACATGGTTTGAAATGAAAAAGACACAATTAAATGAGAATAAAATGTAACCTCTTAGGAAAATTGAGTATTCAGAACAAAATATAAGGTTTTTTGAAAGCGAATAATTGCACCAAGTTCGCCAGCATATACTACTTACTGACATAAATAGTTGCACAACATTCATACCAATCAGCAGATCTTGCTAACAGAATTTCTCCCTTTTACGTAAATCCTTCGAATCACTACGATTTTGGGTAGTTTCTTGAAAGGACTGTAAAATGCACTATCTAGGGTGAGAAAAGGGTAAATGGTTAGCCGATTGGGATCCTTGATGATAGATTTCCAAGTAGATGATTGATGCGATACGGGAAGCGTATTTCTAAAAGGAGAGTTCGCTTCTGATGGTGTAAGTCGAAAAGTGGCTAAGAATGTTCCCTCACAACCATTCTGTTACATGTTTTGAAATAGCTGATAAGGGGTTTTGAGATAACAGTTTTATCCGTCTTTCAAGGTTAGACAATAACGAATAGCTACCAGTTGGAATTTATTTACGTGTAAGTCATGTAATTCACAACCGTGCATCTAATTTATTCAACGATCCTACTCAGTCGACCACTTATCGCGTTAAAACCATGCTCTCTATGCAATGTGTTTTCTTGTTATGAATAAACTTACTGTCTTTATCTCTGATATGGTGACCAACAGACCTCACCGGGAGCAAAGAATCAAGACCTAAAAAGGAATTTATAGATCTGGCTAAAGATGAGAATATCTGTAGGGAAGAGGACTGCATCAAAGCGTATGCAGTGTTGCACTCATTTCCAAACCATGCAGAGAACAAGAAAAGAGCACGATGATAGCATATGCTGCCTTCTGAAGTCGATGGTTTGGTCGATAGCAGTGGTCATAGAGACACAATAGTAACTGACTCAGGAGAATGTTACTTGGAAAATATCCATCAGCGAACTCAAGTCACTGTTCCAGTCAATTTTTTGACATGAAGTTGATCAACAATGATATTCGTCATCTCATGTTGTTCAGTGAAATATGTGAATCTATATCAATGTTTTAAGTTTTCATAAGCAAATGGTAAATACTGTAAAACATTTTCATGGAAGATGTATTTTTTAAGTGATACCCGAAAAGAAATTTGTATTTCATAGAGTATTGCATGTAAACCCGTACTTATTTTATTATATTTAAGGTCCCCTCCAAGATATCTCTATGAATCAACATTTTTCTGCCATAGATGACCTTCTTCTGAAAGTATAAAGTCGATAATTTGATTCCGTGCATTGAAGTCATTCCATATCACTTAGGCGATCAAACTATCTCCTAAGGTAAAAGGTATCGTTTCGCTGAAAATTTTGCAATACTATTTCTTCCTCATACTTGGTACTCAGAAGACATGATAGTCAGGTAATTTTTTATAATTTACTTTTTAACTACTCAATTCACTTTTCATTCTGCGGGTAGCAACCAATATTTTTTATCCTATGCTAACCGATTTTCGCCAGTCAGCTTCGTAGCATGACCACTGAGCTAAAAGACTCGATATCTCTATGCACGCCATTTAAGGTTTGACAGTTGGTGCCTATCAGATGAAAATTCTGCTCTGTCTAAGTTTCCTACTTGTCAGTAAGACCTGTCGTCAAGGATATTCGTGCTCCTCAATAGATTCTAACCCTCAACAGTTATCACTGTAGTTAGAGGCGTTACTGTTGAAGTGGCTTATCTGAATAGCTACCTGGGATTCTCATAGATTGCTTTCAATCGTCTAACGTGGAACTAATTTATTTTTACTAAATAGTGCCTGGATTTCCTCGAACAAGTAACCATGTACAAATTGGTGTACTTATCATACAAAAGTTAACGGTAAAGTGGTGTCTCATCGTTACAGTTGGTGGAACCCAAGCAAAATCCCTTAGTCACCTTCGTGTCGAAAGGTTAATCTGTTAGATGTCTACTTTAATCCATTTGTTGTCTGCTCCTACCCAGTCATCCGAACTGAATCGGTTGCTGCACACTATTGACTTGCTGAGCTCAAATAATCTGGACTTTATTGGCTAAGTAAATTGATTGGTGACAGTTGTCTTTAACAAACGCCACGACCACCATTAATATCAGTCATTTGTATTTATCGTAGAAGGTTAATATCCACATACTAATAAGATTTGTCAAGGTAAATCAAATTTATTTGATAAGAAAACTAGCTTTCATGCATGTAACCAAAATTCACGTAAAAGCTTCTTTAATAACCGCTTAGAAAAGCATTCAAATATGTTGAACTGTCCTAGCGGATGTCAAGAAAGACACCAAATCAATTATCTAAAATTATATTTTCTCAATGCTGACTTTCATTGACACACAGGACGAGTGTTCTCTCATGGTAGGATACTCCTGAGCAGTGCGCACACATGACCTGGCGAAGTAATGAGTCCGGGACTGTTAATTTTCTTGGTGACCGCCTTCCTATTCAGCCAACCAGTTGGAATTCTGTAGTTTACTGGTTCGTAATTCATTTAATTCACTGCATAGCATGGCCATCACTTAATACTATTGGCGAGTATTTACCCTCATTTTGGACCCCTAGGTCACAGTTCCTCATTAGAACTCCAAGAAACCCATCTTGAATCAAGTCACCAATGAGCGCTGGAAGCAATTTATTTGATCATTCATAAGAACTAATTGGTCTGAAAGTAATATTCATCGTGAAATGGTATCAAATAGTTTTCAGTGATTCTCCAACTGATGCCAGTCTATGATGAACACAACTTTCAAACCAATAAATCTCTACTAAGCAACATTTAAGGTTGTCTTTTAGTGGAAACGTCTTTGTGCAATATTTCACAGTATATCTTTTCTTATTACTATCATCAAATAAAATATACAGCCAAAAGTTTTTTATACATAAACAACGTCATGGTTTTCCTGGCTTACAATTTTCTAGTCCTCCTAGAGTTCAGGTTGAACTGGCACAGCCAATTCTAGACATACTCTTCTTCAAATGTTTCTGATAAAAACTAGGCCATGATGAAAACTACCTTGAAAGTGAACAAACCTTACTGACGCCCAACTGAATTACTCCAAGTACTGATAAGTGACATGTTCAGATTAGAAACCATAAGCTGTGGAGTGGAACAAGTCGGTGTGAGGACAAACTCGCGGATAAAAATTGATGGTACTTGTTCTACATAGCGTAGTTATAGAAGTAGGAATAATTGACTCACTGTATTCCAATCCAATGGCTGAATGTGAACACGCTCATCATGAAACCTGACAGTTATGGGCTCAATGCTTCGTGACATCTTACTGAGAATACTCACAAGCTAAGATGAAATGGCTATCCTCTGCTCCGTTTTTAAATGTTTCTCAAACTTATTTCAGTCCATCATGAAAACTATATTGAAAAACCAGTCTTCAGGTTGGATGAATAATGATCACATATTTGTTTTACTAGAATTTAATGGTACAATCAAATCTTCAGTATTGAGTATCATTTAGCAGTGAACATCATCTTAAATTTAATTCATAACTACCGATTATTCTCACTTATTTATACTTACTTTTTATCCAAAGTAGCTTCAGGAAAGCAAGAATAGAATTGTTTTTTTATATCAGAAAACTATGACTACATTAGAGAATTAGATAAAAGAACAAACACTTCGCTACACCAAAAATACACTGCAAATATCGCATGTATATGACCCAAAGAATTTTCTTTCCCACACTAGTTTTTTTTTACAACGATTAGACTAAAAAGCCTATTTCAAAGAATGATTATATTGTGTTCACTTCATGCTTAAAGTAACTAACAAAACATTCGTTTAAGGCATTCTCATAGTATTCAGTGTCTTAAGTGCGTAAGCTAAGTACATAAGGTTGTATATCATACATAGTGTATGACTTGCAAAACAATCATACCAATCTAAACAGTTGGTTACACGATAGTCAAGAAAATTATCAATGAAATAAATCATAAATTTATTTCTTAATAGTTTGAACTGTCATTTCTCAGTTAATTGAATTGATCACTGGTTCAAACCTGGCATATATAATTCTATCTACACATCCAAAATGTACTGCTAGATGTAACTCAGTATGTATTCTGAGCTTAGTTCTCAAGTTATATTCTTCATTTTATTGTCAGTATTCATTGACAAGGAGTAATTCAACTGACTGAATTACTACATACACCATAAGTGACCATTACTTGTGAAGGTAATCGGAAGTACTTGTTTACACAATATGTACAAGATATTCAGACCAGTAATAATTTGATATACTATAGTATTCAAGTATGCTTGATGAACAATAACCTTAGTAACTTAAAGGTGTAAATTAAAACAAGTGAAAAAATAGTTTATGCAGTGAACTAGTAAACATCTATTACATGTCATTTGATACCATGTAATGAAATGCATAGAAGAAAATCTACAAGTTTTAACCTGGTGATTATATATTATTAGAAGAAGTATAAATGAAGCAGCATGCCGATATTGACTCATATTTTACAGATGGAATGAAGTGCATGCAAAATTATGGAAAATCTTGCCCATGGTGTAGATAGAAAGCCATTTTTAAGATGTTTACGAACATGTAATTTAGGCACTTGGATATGCCACCATAAAATGACAATGTTTTCTATTGAAGATTACGCAGTCCTCAAAATATATCAAATATTCATTAAACGCTCTTTGATGGGAAGTGAGTCTTCTCAAGGCAACAGAAATGCTTTACTAATAACTATCGATAAGAATGAAACTTGAACCCAAGACTTTCTTTCAACTAACCGTACACACCTAACTCTACACAAAATGCTTTATAGTACCATACTACTCAGTCGATTTGTCACCAATTTGTGCATTTAGTCGATAGATTCCCATGACCGTTTACAAATAGACGGTTATACTGACCAATTTATGAAATTAGGCGATCTGTTTCCAAATCTAACAATCATTCTGAAATCTAGTTTATTTTGGGCAAAACTGTTATCCCTTTAGTCAGTTTACATAAAAGTATTCATTTTAAGCATATATCTCAGCTACCTTGAAATGAATGTGCAAAAGTTCGAGTTATTACATCTCCAAAGCACTTAATGATGAAATCACACTACTACGAACAAAAATAAAACCGTTTTTCATTGCTTCACAGTTCCGGTTCTTCACTCTTTTATAGAAACCAGGTTAGCCGTGTCAACCGTTATATGCCAACAGTGAACTACTTTACTTACTCTATCAACTACTGTCCCGAAAACAAATAATATACGGAGTCAGATGTAGCGACCATATGTAGGGTGATGTACGAGATTAACTGCTCCATATATCGTGGGTTGACGATACTGCTTATCTTTCCGGAACTTGGTAGATGCAGCAAGGTCCGAAATCCTAACCTACTGACTGAAGTTTGAGATATGAACGAACATCCCTAACGTGTGTTCTGGCTCATTTGAAGTGATCCGTAACAGGTAAAAGTCAGTTTTGTAAACGGTGGATTACTAGTTCGCCAAACCTAAAACAGCTAACCACACACCTACTAATCACAGGTAGAGGTCAGGAACAAGAAGTACTAATGATCGAAACTGTTGTATGATATTAAGCAATGCACACATGGTAAGACCAACAAAAGTACAGTACTAGACCGTACAATAGTCACGTTGTAGATATGTTAACTAAATAAAATGGTGTTGGTGACTATCTCATGACTAGCGGAACACAGTGATATTAAAATGAGTTAAAAACAGTCTAAAAATATCCTTGCCGAACTTCGTTATCGCAAACGAAAGTTAGTGACAAGTAACCTCTTTATTCGGAACTTTTTTGGAAACTGTACGGAACTCCCGTGATGTAACGCATGCTCTGGACGATTAGGCCTGTCATTAACTCAATATCACAGTAACGGGGATACCAGAATATTGCGCAACTTCATTTAAAAAGTAACGACTGACACCCCGATAAGTAAAGTACCCAAATCAAAAAGTAGCGTTAACTCACACCGAAATGCTTTGACTGATAACTGACCAATACGTCCACTGATGAGGACTAAACTAAGGAGTAGCTGAGTGAAGATCATGAATTTAAAACCGTATGGTTTTAGCTCAAAACATGAAACTAGACAAACCAACTTAACGCTCGGGGTGGTCGACATTGTAAGGGATGTAGGAATCTCAAGGGAACAAAAAACAGTGATATTAAAATGAGTTAAAAACAGTCTAAAAATATCCTTGCCGAACTTCGTTATCGCAAACGAAAGTTAGTGACAAGTAACCTCTTTATTCGGAACTTTTTTGGAAACTGTACGGAACTCCCGTGATGTAACGCATGCTCTGGACGATTAGGCCTGTCATTAACTCAATATCACAGTAACGGGGATACCAGAATATTGCGCAACTTCATTTAAAAAGTAACGACTGACACCCCGATAAGTAAAGTACCCAAATCAAAAAGTAGCGTTAACTCACACCGAAATGCTTTGACTGATAACTGACCAATACGTCCACTGATGAGGACTAAACTAAGGAGTAGCTGAGTGAAGATCATGAATTTAAAACCGTATGGTTTTAGCTCAAAACATGAAACTAGACAAACCAACTTAACGCTCGGGGTGGTCGACATTGTAAGGGATGTAGGAATCTCAAGGGAACAAAAAACTAGCAATAAATACAAAAGTATATTTCTAAAATCACAACGTGAACAAGGCAAAAAACAAATGTTTCATACATAGTTAAAACATGCAAGTCACATGCGCATAAGAACGGTTTGTAAACGGATCCAAAGACAAGGAAAAGTTAGAAGATAGAACCGGCGAGATAAGAAATGCGTTCAAAGCTCATCCTTTGGAACATTTGATTGATTTTCCTATCCATGAAAAATGAAAAGACTAAGTTTAGCATTCCGCAAATTAACATGCAAATATTCCAAGCACGATAGGTTTAACTTACGTTGTCTTGTAAAGATTCTTCAGATGCATTTTCTGTCACACTTTCACTCGAAATAGGTTTCTAAGAACAAATAAATTTCAGAATGTTAACTTACTTCTTCTACTTCCTCATCTGTAACAATCACTTTATCATTAGATTCATCATCAACCTCTTGTTCTTGTTCAACCATTTCAGTTGGGTCGATATCCAAGCTCTTTTTAACCACTGACTCAACTCGTTCAGCGAATGCAACAGGGCTTTTTACAGAAAATCCTGAACGAAGAACCGCAACATCAAACAGTAAATTTGCTGTATGGTTTATGGTAGGATCATTTCGATTAGATTTTATGAGATTATTCAACTTCTTCATTACTGGGTGACGTGGGTTTATTTCGAAGACCTTTTTCATGGTAGCGTAGTACGTTGTTGATGGATCTCCGCCCCTCTGATAAGCCTGTGCAGTCATAATGCGTTCCATATTTCCGGACCACCCAAACTCGTTAGCGACCAAAGCACACGGAGTATTTAACAGTCTCTCAGACAAGGCAGTTTGGTCTACGTATTCCTTCAAATTCTCCTTAAACCACTCCAAGAGAGGTTCGAATTCTTTCTGAAGTGCCTCTTTACGAGTCTTTGCTCCATCCGATTTGTCGAGCTCAATCGCCCCTTTGCGACATTTCTTAATTTCTTTTTATCATACTCTGTTAGAGATTGGAGCATATACTCGTCCACAGGATCAACCATATAGATTATCTCATATCCCTTTTTAGTCAATCTCTCAACGAATGGGGACGATTTCGCTTCATTTAACGAGGCCGCAGTAATGTAGTAGATCTCATCTTGTCCTTTTTTCATTCTAGACACATAATCAGCAAGACTTGACTGCTTTTCACTGCTATTTGATGTCCAGAATCGAAGGATTTTGGATAGCTTGGAACGATTTGAATGATCATCAATTATTCCAAGTTTTATATTGACTGAATATTCGCTCCAAAATTTTTCGAAGTCTGATTCAGTAAGTTTGCTGATCATTTCAATGACTTTCTTTACTAGTCTTTTTTTGATTGCTTTCAATAACTTATTTTGCTGCAGCATCTCACGAGAAACATTTAAAGGAAGTTCATCACTGTCAACGATACCCACAACAAAAGCCAAATATTTTGGAAGTAAATCATCAGCCACATCAGAGATGTATACCCTACGAACATAAAGCTAGAAAGTACGATGAGCACAATATAAATGACCTTACTTTTATTCTATCACTGTGAGAACTATGCATTTGAAATATATTGGAGGGAGAACGCTTTGGGATGTATAGGATGGAATTGAACATTACATCTCCCTCACCGGTGAAATGAATTCTGGCAAGGGGGTCATCATAATCTTTGGAATATACATGGAAGAGTTCATTGTACTCCTTGTCAGTCACATCGGATGGTTTACGCCTCCAAATGGGTTTGTTAGCATTCACACGCACCCAGTCCCAGACTACCTTGTCTACAGTCTTACCTTCAGTTTTCTTTACACTCTCTTCCTCCACCTAAGAAAGGATATAAGTAGGAACATAAACTTACACTAGCCTCAGAATCACTAGTCTTTGTATCATCCTTTTCTTCAGGTTCAATACTTTGCGACTCGGTCCGACTTGACCAAACGTAAATGGGGAAGTTGATGAACTGACTGTATTTCTTAACAACTTCTTTAAGAGTTTCGGGTTGTAAATAATCTTCTGCTTCATCGGTTAAGTAGAGAATTATTTCAGTCCCACGTTTCAACGTATTGCCACGTGGGTCTCTGTACACACTAAATGAAGTAGAATTCGACTCCCAAATGTGCTGGTTATCGGCATCGCTTTTTGACACAACCATAACTTTATTGGCAACTAAAATATAAGTAACTTACAAAAGGACACGAACCTAGAAACGACGAATAGAATCCAACACCGAACTGTCCGATAAGGTCTGACTTTTCTGACGATGAAGTAGCCTGAGTGATATTTGCCAAGAATTCAGACGTTCCAGACTTGGCAATGGTCCCCAAATTGGAAGTAAGTTCAGCTTCTGTCATACCTATACCTGTGTCAATTATATGGAGTGTTCGCGTTTCTTTGTTAGCCTTTAAAGAATGCCAGATATTCAAAATACCTACCTTGATTCGTATGTTCATCTCATCTGATTCCTCTAGTACTTCACTGTTAGTTAACGCGAGAACACGTATTTTATCTAGAGCATCAGATGCATTTGATATAAGTTCTCTGAGGAATATCTACACAGATAAATAGCATAACACGTTTACCTCCTTATTTTTATATAGGGAATTAACTATGATTTTCATCATGCGATCAACTTCAGCCTCAAAATGTCGTTTTACAGCTTGTTCTCTGGCTTGCTTCAACTGTTCGACACTTAGACCATCCAAGCTGATAGCTTCCCCTTCTCTGAAAAATCACAAAGTGTTACCTTTGCAAAACCTACTTATCTAAGGTATCCGAGGCTGTTGAAAGTCCCTCATTCGGTCTAGATACAGGAACATCAGACTGTAACGATGATGGGTCACATAGAACGCAAGCCAATACAGCTTTCATTGATAGTTGAAAATAAAGACAAAATAACTTACCGACTACTACAAGACTAGGTACCAGAGATACCTCTAACCACCTCTTCATGGTTGGAGTGTCACCGACACAATGCGAAATGCGTAAACCAAAAACAACCAAATGTGTCTTACTGTGATTGGTCAGTAAATTAATTATCGGCTACTTAAAACAAATCTGAGTCAAATGTACTTTTAGATGAAAAAACTGAGATCAAATTTGTTCTTGTTTAAGTAAAATTGCAGCAGTTGATACGATACATCATAAAATATAATTACGCCTACAACCCAGGTTTCATTCCTGCTTAATGACAATTTCCCACATGTAGAAGCAAAAGACAACATTTTCAACCACATTCTGACACTCGTGGTCACCTTAACTTGCTATCCGGTTGATAACAGCATGGACCACAGGGACTTTCGTAATATAGACATGACCAAAATCAGATGTGACTAAATAAACTACTAGACGCCCTCATGTTTCAGGGGACTAGTAACGGAATAGAAGAAGATCAACTAATTTCATTATCTTGAAGCAGGGAACCAAACTTTCCTTTGGCCGCTAACCTGCGTACGAAATAGGAGAGGGAAGACGACAGTAACTAAAATAAAGAGGGCAAGTTGTTTGGGACTAAACTCACGTCCATATCATGGGTTGGTGTCAGGTTGAAATCAAAGAACTCAGACGAGGTAACTTGAATCACTTCCGCTGAATGAGCACCTCCAGGTTAAACACCCCTTTAAAATCGGACGTTCAGCTCATACCTAGCCTGCTATGTTCTGAGTTCGGTTTATCTCTTCGTACGTGTATTGGAACTGATAGTGTCATAGTTTGAAAGGGCGATGGTGTAATCCTGTATGTTCATGATGACCTGCAGATCCATTTGACAGATTAAGAGGTACAATGTAGCGTCATGCGTGAAGCTATCGGTTGCAAAGTCAGGTTTAGGCAAGGTGTCGTGACTATAGAAGTAGTTTGCCGAAGTTTTAGTTGTCTCGTCGATGACTTCGTGCTTAATTTCTTCAGGAAATGGAACACTAGCAGTAGATGCCCGATTATTGCGGACATCCATGTGCCACATGTCAATTGGCAAGAACTAACCATAAGTGGGCCGGGCGGTTGCTTTGATATCAACCCACTGTTGGGCGCCCCAAAATGTGCACAATTTCATAGTGTAATGTCCTATGCATTATGAGTCAACGCATGAGTAGCCGGTCTTTGCCGTAGTCTCCACACAATGCAGGGAAGTGGCAGACTTAAACCATTTACCCGACTGAGTGGTATGGATGACACACGTAAGTGTAAGTCTAGAATGAGAGAGTTGATTTATGGCATTATTTCTCCTCGTCCAAACTATTAGGGCGCCGTCACGTCAGTGATCAGGAATAGTGCCATTTCAAGTGACCAGTGACCTGTTGCAATTTGTTCTGCAGAGGAGGCATGGGAGAGGTTCAAGGATTCATATAATGATGTCACACCACTACTTATTCCTCGGTCCTCTCCCTGAAGATCGCTTCATAAACCACCCTGATTCACATACGAATTCAAAAGAAATTCAAACTGAGAGGATGCCTATGGGATACATTGATAGCGAATAACAGAATTAATTAGGCCGCAATGTTACATGGTTAGAAATAATCGCGACTCTATGATCCATGTACGTTACACTGAACAAAGAAGGCTGGTTGGTGGACAGTTTATAGACGTGTCCTCAACGCCTGCTCTCCCATATTAGGAGGGGGACTAGAAAAGCCGAGGGAAAACTTTGGCACTATGCCAGCGGGGCAAAAAATGTGTCGGAATCGGACTAGGCTAAAGCGGATATTTTATCGAAATATTTCCGTCAAGTGCTTCCTGCTGACAAGTGCGAAGTGGTTCAGAGCACCAATATTTTTTCTAATACTCCTATGATGGATCCTATTAAAATCTTAGAGGACTAGTAACTTAAACCCCTAAAACTGCCCAAATTAGAAGGAGTACACCTAGGATTCTGCTGCTGTCAGTCAATAGTGTTGTGCACCCTTTGCCGCGTTTTCCAGCATGTCTTTATCTCGGACACAGATACCTAAGGACCGGTAGGATGCAATGCTAGGTCTTGTGTTTAAGGGAGGTCACAGGTAGCTGGTTGCCAATTAGAAACGCATAGTGCAATGACTTAAGAGCAACGTGGCTTCGGAGCTGGACGCTCCTATTTGGCAGACCAACTCACGGCAAAGAATGGCGTTTAAAGACTACAGACGGTAAAGTCAGTGTGGACGTTGTTTTCAGTGGCTTCACTAACGATCTCAACACAAAGTCACATGGGGCCAGTGAAGAAGCCTAAAACGTTCGCCGTTGACAGTACGGCTCAAGCATAGTTTGGGAATATCTACACGAGCTGAGACAGAGTTAGAGCCAGTGGAATACAGACTAAGTGTTGACCCAGCGTTTCTGAGGGGGTAATTTTTGGTGTCTACTCTTTCCTCTTTGCCTTAACGAAATAATATAGATGCCAGACCCATCACCGGTGCTGCTCGCTGATGGCATAAAGATAGTGGGGATCATGATGATGATGACAAGTCTATAACCCAGGCTGGACATGATAAATTGAGTGAGCGGTCTAAATTATAGAGTCTGGAAATCAACTTGAGCTAAAATCGATAATGTTCACAGGGAGCAAATTTTCTGACGGTGACTCAGTGAATGGTCAACTAATACCTCGATGCTTAGAACAAACCAACCCCAACCGTGAACCATAATGTTTATAATAATAACAATATTCATTACTGGACATACAGGAGCACACCATTTTTACAGGTATGAATAAGTTTTCACACAAATTACATATGTCTTCATGGAAGGTGATCTCAATCCCCACCAGTTGTCGCTAGAAGATACAAGTGCTGCATGTTCATATAATGAAACATCCCAGCTGAATAAGTATGCAAACAATTAACGAGTCCAACAAGCGGAAGTATTGTCTTCGCATTAACAAAAAAGGCAGGGTTGTATCTGGACACAACATGTATTACCTAGAGAACAATAAAGCTTGAAGCTAATCCTTCCATTGTAACAGTTTGTGCTTTTTACCTGAGATGGTGATGAAAAGTTTATGAGGGAATGTATGCACAAACTGTTTACTTATTGTACTTCGTTGATGATTCCGGAACTGCATAATTCATGCATGTTAATACCATTCCATATTAGAGATTCATAATATTGGCGAATATTACGACTGGGAGGCAAATATTTTCTTTTTTCCAACTCCGGCATCTAGAAGCAATGGACTTGTTTGAATGCGCGAAATGAACTTCCAGGACATCTTGTCCGCCGCCCACACTGGTCGTGACACCCTTGAGGTGAGTTCAGGTAGACGGCATGCATCTAAAGCTTTCGGCATGCTTTGGTGTCAACGCGGAACATTCAAAATGCCTCAGTAAAGAGATGTTTGGGACTATGTGCCCCACGTTCATGAGTTTTCACCTACGGAATTGTTTCCAGATGGCTAGCGCATGCTGTGAACAAGAAGGTGGTTAATTAGGGCGGATCCAAAGGGTCGCCTCTTAGTTGATGACAGGGCTAGCTCATCTTTGTGAAGATTGACAGGCAAGACGAGACCTTCATTCCTTGTCCTGGGAAAGGATGCAACCTAACCCTAGCCGACCACCTTCTGAATTATGATCCATATGTTGATTCATCGGATTTCTTTGTTTCTGGGGAGAATATCCTAAGAGTGCACAAAATAGACACCAAAACCGGGAACGAGAGGTCGTATTGCTGAACACCCGGGAGCTTCACTTGGACATTTCCATTCTCCATGCATCGAAAACTTTTCCTGAAATCCAAATAAACGGCCAAGTAGATATGACGGCTGCAGGTTGACCCCGACTAATTTTAGTGGTCACCATGATCAAAATTTTTAGGAAGATCTAGAACAACAGCACCAATTTTCGCCTGTTGACTATCATTACCGCTCCACTGACTTGCAGCAGTAGGCAAGTTAATGATCCAGGAAAGCCTTCCAAATCTAAGCTGCTGGGGCGTAAAGAAGTCAGTCGCTACGAGATGATCCTTCATTTCGTCGCAAACCACCAACTTCGTTGCCTTGGAAGGTGTACGTATATAAGAGAGTTATCAGTCCACTGCTCTTCGGTTTGTCTCTTAAACGTCCTTCGCAAACTGGCCTTATGTGGCTTGACTTTTAAGGATTGGCCGCTTCCTTTTGCTTGAGGAACCTTTAAAATACATTATTAAGGGTTCGGCCAAGACTAGTGCCCCTGCTGAGAGATTATCCTTTGTCTTGAAGACGTTTCGCTAGTGAACCCTGTGAGCTTGTGCTGCGCTAGCTCAAAGATTAATTCAGCGTTCGAACGTCCTACTTAGTTCATAGTATACTTGCATGCACCTCATTAGGTGGTCGACAACGAAAAGATTTGAAAGCACTGATAAGCTGAGATTTTCTGTTCTTTAGCATTACTACTAGTCAGTCCATTAGGCCCTACCAGTTAAGAGACTTTCGCCTTGGCCTATTGCAACGACAAGGGTTAGAGAGGGATTTCCTGTTTTTTATCTATTTTATACGTGTCTATTACCACCTGTTTTGTGCCGGCCTAGTGGAGTCTTCTCAACCCAGGTACTTTATGAATACAATGGAGCAGACGGACTGACGGCGTACGTTATTCTGTTGATTACGGATCAGTGACGGTTAGCTTGAAAATGAGAGAAAACATTGGAGGCTCAGGATGAGGATAATGGTTAGCTTCTTAATCTGTACGTTTCAGCACTTTTTGGAGTACTGGGACGTCAGTGATGGTCATGGAGACATCAGCTAGGAGGAAAGCCAAGTGAACAGATTTACGTAAGACCAAGTCAGGATAAAAACATGTTCTTCAAAGATAATGACTGAATTTCCGTTGGCCACTCGCAGATTACCTGACGGATCGTGATGGCTTTCGTTTTGGCCGCAGGAAGGAAACAGACTTTTGTGAATGTTCGTTTTTGCATCAGTGACGTTTGATAAGCGGCCGCTTAGAACGGACACGGCTGCCGGTGACTCCTGTCGACCGGGAAGTTCCCAACTCCGGGTGTTCTCT